AAGCCCTAAACCCATAAACCCTGAACCTAGGATGGACATTTTGCAGGTTCTTGGGTCTCCTGTGACGGTTAGCAAAGGGGTAGCCTACTCTAAGCTTCTATGGCAGTTTCCTACAAGTAGCAGTACCATTTTGGTGGGTCCCCATAAAAAGGATTATAGCTTCTTGGGGGTCTATATTGGGGGAAAACTACCATGCATAAACCGTTTCCTGTTCGAATAGGAAGCCCCAAAAGTTCCCCCTAATAGTTAACCCTCCCTCCAAGTGTTAAGTATTAATTTCAATGGCCTGATAATCCTGAAGAGTGTTGGCAAAAGAGCAAGGCTGCTTTTAAACGGTGCCACCGCACAATGAAGGGACAAGGGTGGAGGATTATGAGGTCAGTAGGGGGCTAAAATCATGTTCACTTGATTTCAGTGCGACTCTAATGGTGTTACATACATTTCAGTTTAGCTGTAATTAGGCTTCAATGTTTTCATTTTGAACTCAACGATTTATATTGAACCTTAACTGCTGTTACATAGATTTCCAGTACATTAAAGTTGGGGTGTAAAGTTGAGGTTAATGAAGCTTTCATTCGACCTTCATTGGTACTAATAAATGTTTAATTAGATTTCCATTGGCTTTAAGCTGACTTTAATTTGGCTTTGGTTAATAAGGCTTTAACGGATTTTAGGTGGATTTGAAACACATGTGTTTCAATAGTTGCATAGCATAATTCTTGATTTGAGTTCGCTTGATGTTATATAGGTGCCAAATCGATAATACTTAAGTTCAATGTTGTGTTCAGTTGGGTTTCTGTTTAGCTACACTTCAACTGATGTTAGAAAGATTCTTATTGGATTTCAATTGGCCTTGTTTAAGTTTCAACATGCGATGTCAGTTGAAAACGAGTCTCAAGGGTGTTCAAATGCAGCCTTATCTACTGCTTTCAATAGACATATCCCACCCCTGATATTCAATAATATGGGATTGTTTCAAAATTGTGGGGGGACATTGTTTAACATTCGGGGGAAGCAATTACCAAAAGACTTCACGCAGGGTCCTGGATAACCATATGTATTCGTTCGGCGTCTTGTGCTGAGTTGCTGCTAGGAACTTAGATTAAGTTACCATAGTGGGTATATAGAGTAAATAAAAGTCTTTCCCCAATATAGTAACTTAAATTCAGTTCTTTAAAAGCAACCCAGTTTCACGACAGCCCTTCCCTTCTTCAGATTTCAGGTAGGCATTCGCGACTCCTGGGTAGTGAACGGCCCTGACCCCTGCGATCTACTGGCGCGCAGCTTTGACAGCCTGGAGAGCCGGCCTGCAATTTGCGCGGTTTAGGTTTAGGGTTTCGGGTTCTGCGTTTAGGATTTTAGGTTTGGGGTTTAGGGGCTGAAGACATGTGGCATAACCCTAAAGACAGCAAGTAATGTAGTAGTCTCGATTTTCTTTTCCATTATCCCTATATCATATAGTATAGTTGTTTCCATTTTCTTTTCCATTATCCCAATATAACCCCAACGTAATGTAGTCGTTTGTTCTGGTGAGCTCCTGC